CGGGTGTTGAACGATGAGAGCACATGGACGCAGGGAGGGGAGCACTACACACTGGGGTCAGTTGGGGGGAAATAGGGGAGGGATGGTGGGGGGTGGGGAGCTGGGGGGGGATAGCAGGGGGAGAAATGCCAGATGTAGGTGATGGGGAGGAAGGCAGCAAATCACACTGCCATGTGTGTTCCTATGCAACAATTTTGCATGTTCTTCACATGTACCCCAAAACCTAAAATACAATAAAATAAATAAATGGGAAAAAAAAAGTAATGCTAACTACATTCTAAAGAGTAACTGCTAACTACAGCTAAATACCACAGAAAGTACCATAACTCTATGTTACAAAAAGCCAGTGGGGAGTCTAGACTTCCACCTTCATGAGGCTGTAACAAGGTCCCTCAATGTCCTTGCTGGGAGGTGCTGTCAGAGAAGGCTTAGCAGGAAGCTAGGGTCTCTGCTATCTCTGCTGACTGATAACAAGCTCCTTCTTCCCCCCACCTCCCCCAGAGGTGTCTGTGAAGATCATGTAGGAAACTGGAATTTCCATCCTCACTTGGAAGAAGAAGTAAGGCACCCCGTGGTATCAAAGACACTGCAGAGTCAGGATTTTCACCACTTCCTCAGTGATGCAGTGGAGGCTAAGGGAGCCCCACAGAGGCACTCCTTCAGAATGATCAATGTAGCATAAGCAAAAGAGAGTAGCGAGCTGGAAATCCCACCCAGCCCAGCAGTAAGGAGGATGTTCTTACCATTCCTGAAGTCAATGGAGGCTGAGTGGAGAATCTGGACTTCTAGCCTAATTTAGTAGTAAACGTCAGGACTCCCACTTTCCCCTGTTGGAGCAGTGTTAGAAGCAGCCAGGTAAAACAGAAGGTTTAAATGAGATCCAAAGTCATAACATGATATCTAAAATACTCAGGTTCCAATAGAAAATACCTCATCATGCTAAGAACCAAGAAAATTTCCATTTACTTTTTCTTTCCAGTTTTTTTTGTTGTTGTTGTCGTTGAGCAAATAGTAAACAGGATAAAACCAAATAATTCCACACCAAGACACATCATAGTCGAACTTCCAAAAAACTAAAGCCAAAAATATCTTAAAATTAGCAAGAAAAAGTGACGTTTTACCTATAGGAAAAACATGTTTATCAAAGAATTGAACATTTTGGCAGTTGATGAGTGATATGTGTTTTCAGTATTCCATTAAAGCATGAGCCCTTAACAAAAAACTGAATTATCAGTTTAGCCAACAGCTCCAGCTTAATATCATTTAATTGTCTGAATATCAGATACAAATGATCTAACTCTGACAATCATCTCATTTCAAGCTTTTAGCATCAAAAAGAATACCAACTCATAGGTAAGACACAATTGAGGTATAGTTATAATACAGTTTACTTGTGTCAAAGAACATATGTCTTTTTTAGGAACTAACATATGTAGTACTTTCTTTAACTCAAACACAAATTCACATATTTACTTTTAATGGAAATAAGTGTTAGGTTTATGACAGTCATAAAAACAGAGAGCTGACTCATCCAAAAGTGAACATCGCATTTCATTTAAAAAAGCATCATAAACCAAGGTTATTTTACAACGTATATTTTCTCTAAACTCCAAATATTTATTAATTCTCTCTTCAATGGAGAGAATTAAAACATCAAAACAGAACAGATGGCTTGCAACTTTGCAGAGGAAAGGGAATGCTTATAGTTTGCTGGCGGGAATGTAAATTAGTTCAGGTGCTGTGGAAGGCAGTTTGGAGATTTGTCAGGGACCTAGAGGCAGAAATTTGACCCAGCAATCCTATTACTGGGTATATACCCAATGAAATATAAATAATTCTACCATAGAGACACAGCACATGTATGTTCATTACCGTACTCTTTACAATACAAAAGACATGGAATCAACCCAGATGCTCATCAATGGTAGAGTGGCTAGGGAAAATGTGGTACATGTATACCATGGAATACTACCCAGCCATAAAGGAGAATGAAATCATGTCTTTTGTAGCAATGTGGATGGAGCTGCAGGCCATTATTCTAAGCAAATTAACACAGTAACAGAAAACCAAATACTGAATGTTCTCATTTGTAAGTGGGAGCTAAATATTGAATACACATAGACACAAAGAAGGGAAAAATAGACACCAGGGCCCAATTGAGAGTCAAACGTGGGAGGAAAGTGACGATTGGAAAATTATCTATTATTATCCTGATTAACTAGGTTACAAAATTATCTGTATATCAGTGTCCTGTGAAATGCAATTTACTCATGTAAAACACTTGCACATGTACCCCTTGAACCTAATAAAAGTTGGACTGTAAGCAAACAGCAAAAAACCCTAAAAAAATAGTGATAATACCACATGCTGACAAGGCTGTGGAGACAGGATCTCTCATAAACTGCTGGTAAGAATGCAAAATGGTACAACTACTTTGGAAAATTGTTTGTCAGTTTCCTTTAAAACAAAACATATACTTACCATACCACCTTATAATTACTTTGGGCATTTCTCTCAGAGAGATCTTAATTTCCTTATAATAGCATATGTCTGTTCAAAAATTATGACAATGTGTTAGATTTACATATTTGGGACTAAGACATTGCAAATTTTCTACGTTTAACTGGAAAGACTTCAATGTTAAGTATGTACTTCAATGTAGAGTACGTTAAAAATACATGCTGTAGTTCCTAGACCAATAACTAAAACACCACTGCAAGAAAATAGTTATAAAATCAATTGTTATCTTTTGCCAACGTCTAACTCATCTTTTGGACCTTCCTAACCCCAAAGCGTGTCCTGGGAATAATATGGTAAATAAAAGAAAGCCTTCTTGAGTATACTTGCCACTGTATCACCAATTGGCTATGTTATCTTAGGTAAGTTATTTAATATTTTTCATGCCTCTGTTCTTATCAGAAAAATGGTAATAATAATAATCCTTAAATATTTTATTAAATTTATATAATGAAATTAGTTGATATCTGATGTTGAATACATGTTACCAATTACCATTGTTGTTTCTATGGAATCAGTGAATGAGTGAAGAGGTAGGTTAAAGGTGCAAATATTTACACCATTAGTATATCAGAGAAACATGCATTTTAAGAGTGACAAGTCAGATTAACCTAGTTCTAGGTGAACTTTTGGGACATTTTAAGGTTTCAAAACAATCTGAAGGTGGAAAATATATTACATGTCTGGGTGTAGATATTGCAGCTTTGTGGAAACTAAGGAAGAGAATGAAAATAAGATAAAGTTGCTTTTAAAATGATGCATCTGAGAAAAAATGGAATAGACAAATGAGGATACAGGAAGAAGCTGACTCTGAAAAAGATCAGGATTTTCTTCAGAATGACAAGCCAGACACATATCCAAAGTAGTTATATCAAGCTCTTGAGACAACAGTGGAGGAACAACTGAATTCTTATTTTTAAATTATACATCTTATGGTGTAAATTTATAAGCATAAATCCTTAGTTCTGTAATGTGATTAGGCTCAGTTACACTTCTATAAAGTGTAACTATTAATACTACCTCACTACACTGTTGTAAGTTTTAAAAGATTTATCTTGTGAAAAAAATTAATGTACTATTTAGCACATGATACCATACCAATTATTTGAATCATGATCCTAGTCTCTTGTTCACATTCCCCTTTCTGCTTTCCCCAAAGGGATATTCCCAACTAATGACAAAAAACACAATTAGATGTGCTTCCTGAGACAGCACCCACTGGGACTAGAGAATCCTCCAAGAGAGAAGCTGTTTGGATGGAAGAAGATATGATTTACCACCTGGAGCTAGGGGTGTGGAAGAAGGTTTCTTGGTATCATTTGGAGACATCACACTGCTCAGAATAGGAGATTCCAAAATGCATCTCAAGTCTTTCTCCTGTGGGGCTAGCCTGCTGTGAGGCAGTCTAGTGTATGGGAGCTAAAAGGCAGGACTTGCTCTCTGAGCCTCCTCAGGTCAGTGTGAGCCTCTTCAGGTGAGTGGAGAACTCTCCCTTGACTGATCTGTTAAGCTTTGGTTTACAGTAGAGTTTCTGGAGGCAGCAATACCTCATTTTTGGGCTGAGCGATACCTGCTGCACAACCTGCCTTGAGCCCTGACTTTTTCTACAGTGTTCAATATAGATTTACAGGTAAAAGGAGCCTGCCCTACTCTGCCCAAGGAATTTGGAAGGGTAAAATGGTTTGGAAGAGGGGTTGTACAGATACAGTGATTATTGTTTAGCAAACTATTTCTTATTCTATATTCATATTAGTGAGTGCCCCATAGTCTCTAAAGAGGTTCATCATTGTGTGGGGAAAATAACGATAGATTAAGACTCACCATACCTGCTTTCTAATCCTGGTTCTGTGTGACTTCAAGAAAGCCACTTCACCTCTCTTGGTCTTTACCTGATCTATAAAACAAAATCCATCAAGATCAAGTCTCCCCACCTCCCTCTCAAGTTCTAACAAGCAATATGGGTGTGTCCATATGTGTATTCTTACATGACAGTGTATGTATAAAGATGATATAAATGTATATGTGGTATGTATATCTATGAATTTGCATGCTATCTAAATATATACATATTTGCAATGTATGTGCATGCCTGATATATTTGTGAATATGGCCATTAATAGTAAATGTATGTGTAGTTTTAAATGTGTAAAATATGCATAATTATGTGTGAATGCTATAAAGCATACATGCATCTGCATATATGTAGTCATATATATGTTTGTGTGCAAGTATGTGCAAATGAATATGTGCGGTTGTTTATCGATGTATATCTATATGCACAGTCATGTGAGAATGGATCCATACATTCGTATCGAATTCAACAAATATCTTTTTGAAGTTTGAGTCTAAATCAGACCTTCCTTTTTAAGTTACAAACAGGAACAAGAAAAAAAGAATCCATATCATCCCACCTTTTAAAGAAGCTAGTCACCTACTGGCAAGGCAGAAAAAAATCAACAAATCTATCAGGGATATCTCTCAGAATGGGGCAGACCAATGTAACCTCCTGGAGAGATTTTGTCTTTCTGGGCTTCTCCAGTTTTGGGGAGTTACAACTCCTGCTCTTTGCCTTGTTCCTCTTTCTGTATCTCTTCACCCTGACCAGCAATGTCTTCATTATCATAGTCACCAGGCTGGATAGCCATCTGCACACACCCATGTACCTCTTCCTTTCCTTCCTATCCTTCTCCGAGACCTGCTACACTTTGGGCATCATCCCTAGGATGCTCTCTGGCCTGGCTATGGGGGACCAGGCTATCTCCTATGTGGGCTGTGCTGCCCAGATGTTCTTCTCCGCCTCATGGGCCTGTACTAACTGCTTCCTTCTGGCTGCCATGGGTTTTGACAGATATGTAGCCATCTGTGCCCCACTGTACTATGCCAGCCGAATGAATCCCACCCTCTGTGCCCAGCTAGTTGGCACCTCCTTCCTGAGTGGATACTTCTTTGGACTGGCAATGACACTGGTTATTTTCCACCTCTCATTCTGCAGCTCCCATGAGATCCAGCACTTTTTTTGTGACATGCCACCTGTGCTGAGCCTAGCCTGTGGGGATACAGGCCTGAGTGAGCTGGGAATCCTCATCCTCAGTCTTTTGGTCCTCTTGGTCTCCTTCTTCTTCATCACCATCTCCTACACCTTCATCTTGGTGGCAATACTGAAGATCCCCTCTGCTGAGGGGCAGAAGAAGGCCTTCTCCACTTGTGCCTCACACCTCACAGTGGTCATTATTCACTATGGCTGTGCCTCCTTCATGTACTTGCGGCCCAAAGCCAGCTACTCTCTTGAGAGAGACCAGCTTATTGCCGTGACCTATACTGTAGTGACCCCTCTCCTCAACCCTGTTGTTTATAGTCTAAGGAATAGGGCTGTACAGACAGCTCTGAGGAATGTTTTCAGAGGGAGATTGCTGGGTAAAGGATGAAGGTTACCCTGATAGGACACTTTCTTCCGAAGAAACCAAGCCAAAGTGTCAGATATTCAAGGCCTCAGGCCGAAGCTCTTTTACCGCCAATCCTCTGGAAGAGCCTCATCCTGCCTGCTGCCCTTCCTTCCACGCTTCCTGCTCTGCTTACTGCACGCAAGTCAAAATGAGTCTCAAATGTGAATTTTAAATTTCAGCCTCCTAGATGTCACCCCTAGTTACTGAAACCCATTGAGAATTAAAAATTTAATTAAGTTAATTAAGAATTAATTGAGCTGAACAAAATAAAGGAAGTTTGGAGTGGTCAAGTTCAAGGCAGGGCTGCCAGGAGCCTATCAGGGATACTGTAGAGATTTCTAAAATCATTACATAATTAGACTATTTGACCTGTAATGTTCTTCCAAGACTTGAAACCTGGTGAATATCAGCTTGACAGGTTAGGTTAATGCTTTGTTAAATGAATAGGTGGATTATTCTTACTCCTACTGGGTGTCTTTTTATGTTTTTATATTTTAAAAATTTCAACTTTTATTTTATATACAGTGGGGTACATGTGCTTATAGGTTCGTCATTGTGCTGTTGACAATAGCAAAGACATGAAATCATATTTTTATATAGTTGTCCCACTATCTCTATTACTTTACCCTTTTTGTTTTAATTGATTTTCCAAGCAGGGTAGCATATCTTTCTGAAAATATATTTATTTCCTTTTTTTTTTGAGAATTTTTAATGCTTTCTGGTAGCTTCAGAATCTTGCATGTCAGAGACCCACCTCATTTAGGTCATTCACTAAACTAGATACTGTCCTTTTGAATTTATTGCAGAACTATTTGTTCTGCCTATTTTACTTTCTACAAACAGTGTGTTATATATAGTGGCAGACATTATTAGAGAAAGTGTAGTGAACTCTCAAGACTGTCAGGCAGGGGTTTGAATGGAAGCTCTTCAACTTACTAGCTGTGTAACTCTACGTAAGTTCTTTATCATTTTTCAGCTTCAAAGTTCTTATCTGTAAATGGTTGTAACTTCAGTTTTGTGTTGGTGGCTAAACAGGATCATGAATACAAAGAACTTAGCACAACCCTTGGATCATAGCGATCTTCTAGTAAGTTCCAGTTGCTGTTACTAAAATGTGTGAAGGAAAAAGGTATTGGCTTCTAGTTTAGGGAGAATCTAGGTGGAGGATCAGAGAAGACTTCATGTTTTAAAGAGTACTTGAACTTGTTCCTAAAGGATGAGTGAGCTTTGAATGCACTGACTGGAGAGAAAGTACATTCTCAGAAGAGAGAACATAACAGCCAAAGGCTTGATGGTAAGACAATACAGGCCTGTTTTAGAGTGGGTGAGTTGTTCAGAGGGGCTGGAAATGCCTCACGAATAATGCAGAGAAGTTAGTTTGAGTCAAGACTTACTTGTTGAAAGAATTTGAATATCTTGCTTCAGACATGGTCCTTTTGTGAGCAGAGAGTGGCATCTGGGAAGGGATTTAGGAAGATTAATCCAGCAGCAGAGGGGATAATAGATTTCAGCAGAGAGAAACCAGAGGCAAGGAGATCAGCAAGAAACCCACTGCTATCAGCTTAAAGAAAGGCAGAAAGGCTTGAATATGGTTAGTCACACCAGAGACAGAAGGAAACCACAAACATAAGATTTTGAGAAGGTAGGATTCACAGGGTTTGGCAGTGGGATAGAAGTGAGGCATGGCTTGAGAGACAAGGGAAGAATTTAGGTTGAGAAGGTGTTTTTCAGGTAGAAATCCACATTTTTCCATTGTCTCAGGAAAGAAACACATCCTCTAATAGAAATTTGATGAAAAAGAAATTTGAGAGGAAGGAAGCTAGATCTCAGAGAGGAGAACCAGGACAAAGAGAAGTAGGTGAATTAGCCAGGCAGCCAAAAGGGCCTCATCAGGGGAGAAAGACCATCTGCTCTAGGGGTCTTTTCACTATAGGGAAAAGTAATCCTTCATTGCACTGAGGCCACGTGAGCAAATTCATTTCACCAATTCATTCAGTCCACTCAGCATAACATTGGATAAACGCACACTGACCAATGGTTGGTAAAGATGTTTCAAGAATTGCTAAGCGATACTTAAAGGTCTAACTTCCACACGTAGTAGTCTTAAGTATGGAAGGGTATAAAATCAGTTCAAGGGATTTTTTCCAAACAGGTGTTTCTGGGATCTATCTCTACAGACCTTGAAATAATTGATCTGGGATAGGGACAACATAGTCTTCAAAATCTTGTTTGGTGAATCAAATTTTCTCCCTTGATTAAGTATGTGACTATGTGCTTAAAAAGGGCAAAGTCTTATTTCAGGTACACATGAACAGTAAAACAAAGGTCCTTCTGGTATGAACATGACCACATATGCCCAACTCCTGGTCCTTTGAAAGAGCCAATTAATACCAGAAACTCTGCAGTCAGACTTGTTAGGTTTTAAATCTAATCCTGACTAACTAAGAAGATAATTAGAAAGATAGGGCAAGGATTTCAGTTTAAAGTTGGTAGAAGGTCAAGAAAAGATAAGAATTAGGAGGCACTTAACTCTGAGAGGAAGAGGGAAATTTGATGCAAATTCTAATTATAATATTATATGTCAAACATTTAAAACCCCTGTTAAATTATTTATGCAGATTGCAATATTATTACTACTTTTTACTTGAGTGCATAGGTGGACAGATCTGATTTCGGAAAAAGCTATATACAGTTATGACAGTTTCATCTGATGTTATTTTTATTTTGGTTTTCTAGCCTTTATATTAACCAATGTCTTTTTTAGGGTGAAGCTAATTATTCTTTGTCTTTAAGAGCATGATTTGACCCACTAAATGACTAATAATACTATTTAGGCTTTGAAAAATTTTGGCAGGCTTAGCATTGAGGGAATGAAACCACATCTGCCTTTGCTTATGATTATTTTCAGCACAAATAGTTTTAGACTATCCATATGTGGTAAGGGTGATATTAAACAATACTAATTTTTGATGGCCTATAACTTTTCTAACTGTGCTATTTTTGGTAACTCATAATAAGACAATTTAGACATTTCTGAACATTAATTTTGAAAATACTTTCTGCTTGTTACATTCTGTAATATTTGACTATTTAAGAAAAGAATCACTAAAACACCTGTATGTTGTTAGCATTAGTGATAACTTTTTATCTTTAACCAATTTTTTAAAAGGCTCCTGTGACAGCATTTACCCTGGACAGATTAATTTCCATGCGGAGGAAGGGACTGGTACTTAAGATGGTAATCAAGTGGCAACATTAATGAATTGGTGAGTGGGAATTATTTGTGCAGAATGCTAGGAGTTTTATAACAGCAAGTAAATGATCTAAGATTTCTCACCAGCAAATGACACCATTACCGTTTATAAATCAATTCAGAATGTCAGCATGTAAATCTGTTCAGAGTAAATCTGGCCTGAAAGTTTCTGAAGATAGCATTATCTCTTCCTTTTTAAATTAATTCTTTAAATTAATTTTAAAAATAATTATATTAACTATTACTTTAATAGGATATGGAAGTATTATTTTTATTACATTAAAACTTAAGAGAAAATGCAGGAGCCTGGAGGACACTAGAAAACCCTGCTTTGCTGGAATTTTGTCATTCTGAGAATAACAACATATACTATAATTTTGAAGTATGGAAAAAATAAGTTAAAAATAAAGCAGGTGTTATGCGGATCTGTGTGTTGTTTCATTGTGCAAACTAAAATACTGATGTTCCCCGGGATATCAAATACCTTCATTTTCAAATTTAAATTTGAATATATTCCAAAGTTTAAAAAATAATTTGCAAATTGCCTTGGATTTTATTTATCTACTCTACCATGGCCTTTCTTTACGGTACAATTAGCTGCCCACCCTTATATGAGTACATTTCCCAGAAATACAGAAGTTCAACATTTTACTTAACTTTTCCCCAAAAATATTTTTAGAAAGAAGTACTTTATTCTATAATCAGAATAAAACAAAAAATAATGATATGCAAAACAGAACAAATAAAAATAGAAACCTTGACGCCCCTCAGCAGTGACTCGTTGCATATAAAATAGCTTCCACTCCTCCAACTCTATTAACCTATCACCCACCCTTGAGATTATTTAAGATCCTGCAATAAGTGTAATACACACGCGCACACACACACACACACACACACACACACATGGCCATCTTTATCTTCCACATTTGCCTGTACTCTTCACCTCCCAGTAAATTTCTCATGACACTAAGATTTTCTTGATCCACGAGGAGCTGCTTATTAGTTGCCAAAGTAGGAGTTGGTGAAGCCAACGTAGTCGTAGCCAGAGTGATGGCTTCGACCCCGTGGGTCCATATATTGCTGCATATGTGTGGCACAGAATGACACTTGCTCGGGAGTAAGGGCCTGGAAAGCATAAAAAGAGAAAAATACAGTTACAGGGATTTGAAATAGCTGGTTCCTTGGGGCTTCCTGTATTATGCCCTAAATGCAGGAGATGGAGAGTCTCTGGAAAAAGCAAGCCCTGTTTCTATTACACATAATTTTTTTCTCATAAATTTATAATTTCTAATGAGTAACTTAACTTTTAAACTCAGCCTTTTCTTGAAAAAGAGAGCTTACTCACTTTGACTATTCTATGAATTCCATTCCCTAAGGTTGTTTTATTAAACAGAAGGGATAAGAAATAGTCTTAAAAACTGAGTTGCAGATTTTGAATTGACTCACAGATTCAATAAAGAACCACAGTACGTTTTTGAGTTGGGTCAAGACAAAATGAAGTGGTGACCAAAGCAAATTACAACTTGTGCAAGGGAAGATCTAAAAAAAAAAAAAAATGTGGGTGGGTTTTTTCAAAGTAGGCCACCAGGCCTGAGATGTCCAAAATTCAGATTAGGATGACAGTATAGTAGTAGAAGCAACCAAAATCGGACCTGCTTCATGTCTTCTTTGGTAATATATGCCTTGCCCTCCGCCAGCGCTTGGAAAGCATTCTCTATTTCATCGC